AGGTTTCATCACTTTGAGCTTTGTCTGCTCATATTTACTGCGATCAGCGAAGAGGACATTGCTGATGTCAGTCAGTTGCTCAGTTGTATGTGACCCTTTTTTTTCCCCAATGTGTTTTTGTTGATGTGAATCCAGTGTGCGGGCAAATTTTGGAAAGTGGCAGTAATTGCCACAGACAGTTGCTGCGGAATGTGAAAGAAGATGCGCATTAATGTGACTGAAGTCAACCGCTTGGAAAAAAAAAAAAGAAGGATGCTTGGAATCTAAGTCTCAAGTACCGTTCTAGCGGCTCTGTTTTGGAAATAGGCCAACGATTCGAAATTGCCGCGTCGAAGGGGTTTAACGGATTCAATGAATTAGCCCAATAAAAGACAACCGTTTAAAAGTCAGCCGTCGTTTTGAATCAACGAAAAATAATTTGATTATAGCATAAAAACCGTTTGGAACAATGTCTATGTAAAATTTGAAGAATACTGAAGACTACTTTTGCAAATTGGATCTCTGCTGCCGGTTTTTGTGAATGCATGTACAGAGTGTCTGGGTCCCTCATACGCTACATCTTGAATGTGTTTATTTCAGCCTTAAGTCTCTCGAACACACACACACACGCACACACACACACACACACACACGCACGCACGCACGCACGCACGCACACACACACACACACACACACACACACACACGCAGAGGAAATTAGCACTTTTTATGAAACGGGGACAAGTGATATGAGAAATGATACATTTGTGGCAGGCATAGATGACTAGTTTGACTGAATGAGGGGCAGTTTAGTGATATTTTTTCCCCAAATATATTCTGTTGTATGACTGTTGACTATTGGAATGGATACATAATGTGTTATGATACCGGTAGCCCTTACCCACAATTCAAATGACGAAACTGTGAGATGAGGGCGTGCGTCATTGTGCTTCCAAAGTGTGAAGAAGATTTTATGAAATGGGGGTGAAACTATCGCAACTCTTGTCCTTGAATAGGTCTAAAGTGGTGCCAGCTCTTCTCCGTGCTATTCCAAACGTTAACACAGTATATTGAGAGCCTTAAAATACATGTACTTGTGATCCGCCTCTGTCTCTGATCCCAAATGACTGTCTTTTTCTTATTTTGCTGTGTAGATGCCGCTCCGTTTAGAAGTTGGAAATTCGAAAATAAAGATGCCATCTCATTTTACTTTCTATTAGCCCTCCTCTTAGTGTAATGTAATACAGTGGAACCTTTCAGGTCGAACACAATCCGTTCCAGTATGTTGGTGGGACTTTGATTTGACTGGCTTTGGAAACAATTTTCTCAATTGGAAGGTCAAACTGATATGTTCAATCAATAAATAACTGTAAAGGCAATGTTTTGTAATATTCTGTCTTAAAAAAAATTCACTCTTCAAAATAAGATGTAAAAAAAAAATCTATACATAACATGAAACAATCAAGGTGAAAGAACAAAACAGCCAAATCTTAACTTTAATCCTTTCATGCACCCTGCAAACTGATAACATGATAAACTGTCCACTGTAGTCACCGCTGTACCTGAAAGGGTTAATGACATTATAAACTCCGAAGAAGGGCTACAAGAGTTAATTCAAATATTTGAAATCGTTTGATTAACATCATAGGTCAAAGCAGAATTTCTGCATCCAAGCTCCGAAGGGATCAATTTTCCACACATTCTAATGTTGCTGCTGTCGCACGCGCCACTCAGTGTAAAAATTAAGCTGCCGTGAAAGTGCTAAACCAGGACTAAAGCATCCTTCAAATTCATAAATCTTTGGGGATCGTTGCACACTTAACAAGGAAGATAAATTACAATGTGTACAACGACAGTACACCTAACATTCTCCAACACAAAGGTATCTTGTTAGCTCATCTAATATAGCCTTACCATCGCTAGCTAGAACGTGTTGGCCCTCAAGTTGTCTCGGATAGACAAAGCTTCCGGTGCTGTTTCAATGATTTCATTGAATAAAGAGTAAAAAAAAAAAAAAAACAAACAAAAGTTATAACATGCATCCAAAAGCTGTAGATGGCCACAACTAACACCAAGTCACTCAACACGCAGACTGGCTAACAATTAGCCAGCTAATAGCCGGCCAACTCTACGCTTTAAAAAAAACAAAATTTTTTTTTTAGGAATTATTCTTCTCAGAACGTTCTCTGTTTAAGGTAAGCGTTTAAAAAAAAAAAGTCACAAAAAGCTGAAACAAGCAACATCAGTACATTCAGGTGAATCCTGACAAATGCTGACTTAATGCCATCCATGACAGCGTTTGCACTCAAGTGGCATATTCTTCGCGTAAATGATTACATTGTGACCTTTTATTCGACTTTAGAGGTTCCACTGTGGATGGTCTTCGTTGCTGTATTTGAGGAAGTCCGCCTTTGACTCCTTCTCAGCTCGCCTTGATGGCAAGATGAATGAAATGAACAGAATAGTGATCCAGTTAAGCCCGCTGGCAACTATCAAAGGGCAGCTGGTGAAACGTTGAGATGCGGGTAAAAGAGACGGCAGTGTGAAACTTAATGAGCGCATCCAATACTGTGCCACGAGTTACAAACGATCCATGTGAGAAGACGTACTACGCGCTTCCATGTGGTGATACTGCAGTGTTTGTCAGAGGTGCTCTTTCGAAATGCTTTCCCCCACCTGCTCTCAATATACTGTATCTGAAGAATGCAGGATGCAAGCATCTTTTTTTTTTTTTTTTAACACTCCTGCATGGTATTGTGCAGACTGCTTCTCTGCATGTATTCAGTGAAGCTTGAATTCCATGGACTGCACTTTTTATTTTTGGAGAACAAAATTGCTCATCTTTCCTTTTGGAGCATGAAAAGGAAACAGAACGAGTGGAAATGTGAAGAACTGATGAAGAAATAGGTTGACTTGTTACCTGGTAGCAATGCGCTGCCTGGGAGGAGCGGACAGAGCGCTCATTTCTGCATCACCACACTCAAGAGTTTCATATAGGTTGGCCCCTACATATTCCAGTTTGCACTTCTGTTCTGCGCTAATTAAGTGCGCGCGGGGGTTGGGGGGGGCGGTGATAATTATTTGGGCAATTTGGAGTGAACGTGCTGGGTCACTGCTGGAGTTTGAATTTGTAATTCATCATAGGCCTGAGACTGAATTCCCTTTAGAACGTCTTCAGGCAAATCCCCAGAAATTAGATTGACATACATTGTCTTGTCAGGAGGATGTTAGCTAACCGTTGTCCTAAAGTGTTTAATGAATATTTGATTTTCCACGCCAAATTAAATCATATCTGATCTCCTCCTAGACAGCCCATTGGGAATAATCAGTTGAATGGGGGTGGGTGGATAAGGCGGATTTGTCTCCGTTAAAAAAAGGTATGGGAACGTCATCATCAATGCAGCTCTGTGCGGCGTGTCTTTTTCCTCAAATGTCTTTGCATCTTCACAGTGGGCCTTTGGACTGTCAATTCAAGCATGGCTGTCATCTATTTTCAGCAGGCAACATAATTAGGAGCGATCATTTCCATTTTCAGACCTTGCTGGGGGCAGTCTAAACCCCAATGGTGGTCGCTTTACAAGAAAATGTGACGCTGGCAGTTGTTTAATTGAATGCAGAAGCACATATATTTGGGCATAAACTGCCATTACAGTCTCAAATCCCGTTTGACCTGCGGTGTTCCTCATCTCACAGCAATATTCTGTCTCTCTCCTTGGCATCTCGTTGATTCTTATACATTTCTGCAGCAATGATTGGTCTACGGGCCCGTTTCTGAATGCTCCTTAGTTTCATTCATCAACAGTCACTGAACCCGAAATATGTTTGGTGCTTTTGTTTTCGCCCATTTCATCACGTCATATGATTGAGTACAAATCAGGTTAAGTTTTAAGTGGGGATGCACCGATACCACTCAGTAGAAGTACTTTCATTTGAGTACTCGGAGATACAGAGTATCGCAATAATTGAAATTTTTATTTTGTCTTGCAATTCTGATGTAAATGTTTTATTTTAATCAAAATATTCTCCAAAAACAGTGACTTTCCCTGAACCGGACATATGTGGTATTCAAACAAAGTACATGACAAATGGTTAATAATAATAATAATAATGCGCTGTTAGCGTCTGCTTGGCAACTGAGCAAAGCATCGATTATACTTGTATGTAGTATATAACAGCCATGGACATGCAATCAGCAAACGTTGATATTTTTGTTAATCATCGTAGATGATCACGAGGCTGGCTGCAAGTCGGAGATCGCTTGCTATCTGGCCACATCCGCAATGGCTTTTCTGGTGGGACACAATTGTGCCGGAGTTCACCGCTCAACAGTTTGTGCAAAACTTCCTTGTGTCCAAGGAGTCATTCCTCAACATCTGCGATCGTTATGATAACCCCGCCCACTATCCCCTGCCCAGGGCCGTCAGGGCTCCTGACAAATAAAAGCTGATCCGAGCACATTACAAAGGCACAAAAACCACAAACAGAATATGAACATCTAATTTCCAAGTTCCCCGAATGATCATAGAAAGGCGACTCATGCGAATCGGGCGACGGTGTTTGCGCAACTCGTGCTTGCCGAGTGGCGGTCGGAGTTCATCTTCCGCATCTGCGTTTTGCACTCCCCTTAACATGTTGTTATCCGTGTCCTTAGTGTAACTCCTCGTACGTACCGCTGATATGCCTCGTAAACGAAAGGTCTGTCAGGCTACTGACGTGGTATCGGTGTGTAGAGTATCGGAGGATGTTCATGACCACCTGATCCTGCTATCGGTATCAGTGCATCCCTACTTTTCAAACATGGTTCTCCATCAACCTGACTTGCTTTGACCGTCATCTCAGTTACCTTTTCCTGCATCTCCACGTTGTGTACAGCTTCACAAAATACCATGACACCTCCGATCCTTCGCCACCGAGCACCTCCTCGCACCAGCTCCACACTTTCAGTGAAGCATGTTCCCCTTCCCTAAACTGTCTTTACTCACTGCACGTCTCCCACCTCTGCTCGTCTTTCTTTACTTCAGGTATCATGACAAACAGGAAGTGACCAGTAACTTTCTGGGAGCCATGTGGCTCATCTCAATTACCTTCCTCTCCATTGGCTACGGGGACATGGTACCGCACACGTACTGCGGGAAAGGCGTGTGTCTGCTTACAGGGATTATGGTAGGTTCCCTTTTTTTCAAAAGCCGCGTATGCATTCATTATTTTCTCATTCCTCAAGAGTCACAATCTTATATGCATACAAGGTCACAAAAAAGGAGAAAAATTACAAGAAAAAAGTCATAGTGTCAACAAGTATGATGCTAATAGCATTGACAAAATATTACATTTTTTTTTTTAAAGTTTTGAGGTGTAGAAATACTGTCAGAAAATTAAAGTTGCGTGTCTTAAAGAAACGCAATGAAACTACAAGTCGTCGTTCTGAAAAAATGATGTTGTCTGTGTTATTAGAAAAACATTTTACAAGTAATGTTATTTTAACCAGGCGATGACAGTATTGCAAAACAAATCGAACTACAACAGTCTAAAAGCAGAAATGTCTTTTTCTGAAAGCCCGCCATTTGTTATTTGTAACAATAGTGGGAAAGAATACTGTTGTTGGAACACATTTGAGCAATCCATTGAAACTTTTATGTGACAAATCAACTATTTCATTTTTTTCTGAAACTTCTACTCAATAATTGTCGTGATCTTAATGCAGCTATATGTTTGTGCTTTTAATAATAGCACATCATTTTTGTAAATTGCCAGTTCTTTCACCCTCAACTTTGTTGCCTTTTTTTTTTTTTGCATAGTAGAAAGGAGAAGAAGAAGAAGAAAGAAGTAGTCGAACATAATATAATATTCAAGTCTACCCAATGTTGCATTTTGATTTATTTATTTATTTTATGGTCTCGCTAATCTACTTCAAAATTTGATTTACTTCCTTATTGTTGACTATGTTGTCAGATCCCACATATATAAAATAAAGTCATATTCCCCCATTGCAAAAGAACCCATACTAATTGATCTTCTGTTTTATTTTCTGCAATTGTCTGGATCACACGCCGTTATTTACCGTGTCAAAATGTTTGGCTATTATTGCTTATTTGTGTTGTAAGTTTAGAAAAAAAAAAATCCCCCAGCACATTCCCCACCACATGTTGTGAGCCTGAGCATGTCTTTGTGCGAACAGGGAGCTGGCTGCACTGCACTTGTGGTCGCAGTGGTGGCCAGGAAACTGGAGCTGACCAAGGCAGAGAAGCATGTTCACAACTTCATGATGGACACGCAACTCTGTAAACGAGTGAGTGACCAACTAACGTCCATTATAGAAACAGTAAATGTAAAAATGTATTTGCTTCGGAAAGCTGTAATGGACTGTGACATTGGTTCTTCCTGTTTATTCAAATTCCAAAAGATGTTTTCACATAGGAAATTCCATCCACATTGGGCAACACATTACTCTTCAAAAAAAATTTTTTTTTTTTTAACCGACATTCAACGGGTGGAATTTTTTTCTGAAACGCCATGGCTATAATAAATTACAACACATGGTGAAATCCCTACTGGGCAAGCTTTTATACTGCAGGTAAAACATACAAACAAAACATTAAAATATATCAAAAGCACGATGTATTTGACAAGATCAGGGTCAAAAATAGATGTTTAGGGATACGCCAAGCCATCTCGGATTAAAATTTGCAGTCCAGTATGATCTATTCACGGAAAATGTTGCCGTTATAATTACAAATGTATTAAGGTACAGTAAAGGATGCACCGATATGGGTATTGGTGCTCATATTGTACATCTGTAACTGCACTTGGACTCATCAAGATGCTCGATATGACAACGCTGACGTCACGTCATCAACGCGATACCATATATACTTTCTGGTTAGGAGCCATTTCAATCTGGTTATTTCGGACATGTACTATAGTTCAGTATAATACAGCAGAGTACACTATAATAGTCTAGTATAGTCTAAATAGAGTTGAACCAAATGAGGACAGGCCCTGTCGATGAACATCGCTAGCAGTTCTCCATCTGGCTTCGCATCACAGAATGCACCTGTACATATCCCCCCCGGCCCCCCATTCCGTACACTCACATTTTATTTATTAACCACGAGTGAGCATCATAGTTTGTTTCTTTGTCTCACAGGTAAAGAACACAGCTGCCAATGTACTCAGGGAAACATGGCTCATCTACAAACACACCAAGTTGGTCAAGAAGATTGATCACGCCAAGGTGCGGAAACACCAACGCAAGTTTCTCCAAGCCATTCACCAGTAAGTCCTGCGTTCATATCACGAAATAATGTTGGGCACCAGCACCCAGCAATTGAGAATCACAGTGTACCACCATTGCCCCCCACCCCCCCCCCCCAAAAAAATCATGCATGTAGAAATCAACATAATGTACAATGTAAGAACTTTTTAGTTGTAGAAACCATATAAGATGTATTATAAATAGTTCTAGGTCCATTATTTAATTCTTGTGTTATTTAGGAGCAAACACACACACTACAATG